GCGTTTCCAGAGACAAGGATGAATAGAATGAGTCACGATCTGACGATCTGCTCATGTCACCCGTTTGTCGTTTGGGGGAACCGCGGAATGATACAGAATACGAGGATTGCGAAATCGGGCAAATGTGACAAACCCAGCAAACAGCATCTAGGCGTGTTTGGTGTGTTTGGCGAGGCTGGATATCATCTATCATGCAGCAGGAAAGAAGAGAGAGGGTCAGAAAGACGAAGGCAGCAATGCGGATTTTATACCATGAAATTCATCTCTTCCATTTGCACAAGGCCATCCGTAGCGGACTACTGCGATAGAGAAGAGCGCCCCCATCGCGAGGAGATGAAGCACCTCTCCATCCATCGAGCGGGTTTGCTCTCTCCTTGACAAGCTGAGAAGTCCTTCTCGTCTTGTGTCTTGTAGTTCTGCGTCTTCATCCCACTTTCTCCCAATATGTTTGCATCTCACCAGAGTGTAGCTCCCAATCCTCCGCTCGGCGGCTTACAAGGCATCCAACTGTTGCAATTGGTCGCCATTTGGGACTCCCACACCTGCAGTCGCCGCAAAACACCATCGTGCATTCGTGTAGATCGGAGCCATCGATGTCGAAATCTGTCCCTGCAACCATCCCTCTATTGGTTTGAAGCAACCGTGTCTCACCCTCTACCTCATAACCCCCAAGATATTGGTCGTATTGTACAATAGTAGTTCGTGGACTCCATCAAACACCATCGCAAAATGAGAAGCAATGTGCTCGCATATAACGGCAGCTTTCTATCCATATCCTACTCCTTGGTCGTCACCGACTGCTGCTTATTCTGCAGCTTGACGTTTGTTGTAGAGGGAGGTGTATCATCAGGTTTGTTGGTCGCGTTGGAGAGACTGATGGCGATTTTGCGAGGTTTTCGACCATCGACGTGATTCTCTGTCTCAGTATTACTCGTTGATATCGGGCCATTCTCGCCGCTTGCCTGCTTCGATCGCAAAAATCCCTTTTTCCGACGTAGTGCGCCTTGCGAGGACAGGCTGGAACTGCTGGATGCCGAGTTTCTGCGTTTGGGCCCTCCAGAAAGCTTGCCGAGCTCATCGTCGTCGTCATCTTCTTGTCGTCGTCGTTTCTCCGTCATTCTTTCGGGGGCTTGCTGCAATTCGCTTTCGGCAATGGATTTGATCTCCGGTGATGGCTGCAGCTTCTTTTCAGGTGCTGCTTTTGGTTCGGGGGAAGAAACATCCTTGTTACTGTCTGGAGTTAGTGGAGTGTGAGGTGTTGCATCGGCTTTGGCTTCCATCGCGTCGTCCTCGTCGTCGTCAGGATAATCTACAAGCGGCTTGTTAACCGGACTGGCGCTCCCATTCATCATCTCAGCCTTTATCCTTCTGCGGTGCCATTGGTTCACCCTTTCAGACACGTCCTTTATACTGTCACGATCAGCATCTTCCTCTGCTTCTTCCTCCTCGTCATCGGAGGCGTTGAAATAGTCCTCCTCGCTCGCATCCATTTCCGGTAGACCCTGCCACCGACCATTCATATGTGCCCGACTCATAGGCGGCGTTGCATCGTCTTGGCTGAATAAGGTGTGCTCAGGCTCAGGGTGGTCGGTTGTCAACTGTTCATACTTAAGAAGAAGATTCACAAACGTGTCGACATAGGTAATGTCCTGGATCTTTTGCCGGTAATGCTCCGCAAGGTGGATGACTATCGGCTTTATCGTTTCCTTGCGGATAAATTCAAACATTTCCAGACATGCTGAATTGAGGAGATTATCCCGTGGCATAGTGTCAATGACAATTCCCAGAATGGCGTCAAAAGCTCCGCTTTTGATGACCTGCGCGGCATAGAATTGATCTTGTAACGAGACTGCGGTCCGGAAAAATTTCAAAGCAGTCAGTTTCAACGGTTTCTGCGGGACCTGCAACAGCTGAGCCACTCTTGGTGCCAAATTTTCCGACAGGAGAAAAGGCCGGCTTCTCATGGAATGTTGGCGGATAAAGAATGTCAATATCTCGACCAAATACGAGAACAACGAGACCTCCTGATAGCTGAAGTTAAGCATCGATTCCCTAGATTCGAGCTCCTTGAGCGGTTGGAATAATTTTCGACACGATCGGTCAAAATTGTCCTGCGCAAATTGCTCGTTGGCCTGCTGAGTCGGAGTCATCTGGGGTCTTGAGAGCTTGGTCATGAACTCGGAGTTCTGACGGTTACCCATTGGGTCATTAGAAGGGGGTTGAGGATCCAGTAAGATCTTGATGGCGTCTGCCAGCTGGTTTTTCACGCCCAGATCAGTCTCGGCATGCAACAAGTCGATCAGCGTGTCCGTCAAGGGAATCTTCCTTTCAGATACGGCCTTGAGCATATAGCCTCTCATCATATTAGGGTCATGGTCGAGAAGCGCCACCAGGATGTCAATGCCAGTTGTTCTCATTGACGGCTCTGGGTGTTTTACCGCGAAGGTAATGACTGAAAAGAGACCGTGTGCAATGAAGTTGTTGAGAAGGTTTGCCCTCGACTGCATTTGAAGCGTCTTCGCAATCGCAGCGCATTGCTGCAAGAAGTGTACAGCCTGTTCTTTCCGTCTGATGTCCGTGTTGTCGGTACTGAAGATGGCAAAGAGCTCCTTCAAAAAGGCAGTGTTGTTTTGAAGGTGTTGTACAATATCAACCTGATTGAAGAATATGAGCGAGTTCAACACGCCGAAGGTAGGGTCGTCCAGGATGCGCGCCAGCACCACATCCTTCAAATACTGCAGCCGCCATGTCTGGCGTATTTTCCGCTTGATGTTTTGGTCTTTGATCTCCACCACCTCTTTATACCTCGACTCATCTGACAGGTACTGTCTATGGTTGGCTTTGTGGGTGGGGAAGTCCGGATCGTATTCAAGGGCTCCAACGACGCCCAGAATGATATCGTCCGTCACCAAATGCTCAATGATGGTGTTATCGTTCATCAGAATCAGGGCCTTCATAATATTGCACAGGCGATGTAGATCTGGTAGACTCTCCAGGTCCTCTGCCATCTCAACCAACGGTATTAATTTGAGTAGGTACTCTTCACGGATCAAAAACTTTGCTAGTGCTTCGCGCCCGCCCTGCGTTATGCTCGCATGTCGTATACTCTGTTCGATCTCGTCCAGATTGTTCAGTTCCGGGGGATTGAGGGTAAAGGAGCTTGAGATATTTTCAAGGGCATCGTCCGAAAGGCCATCATCTGTACATCAACTCAGCCAAGTAGACTTTGCGGAACCGCAGTTGACGCTTACCAGGAAGGGTCAATAACTGTTGCTGGACTTGATGTACGAAATCCCTGGAGCACTATTAGACCATTGCGCGCCCGAAATGAACCATGTGCGTACCATATGACTGCACAGCCTTCTGCCTCCTGGAAACTGAGGGCCATGTCGGTGCCATTGGTCTCGGTCCACACAATGAGTGTGTCTTCGAGCGCGTCAGCAGACCAGAACTCTTCAACCTTGATTCACAGAGAATGTACCTTGCTGTTTCTGATATCCATCATCTTTGACGATACGAGTTTCTAACAACATGCGATCCGGTTGGTCTTCGGACTCGACGTAGATGCGCGGTTCATCCTGTATATACCGTGTATTAGCGCGCGTGCCCTTTTCCTCGCCAGCGTCTCGATATCCAAACGGAAACAGAAGATTTCGAGGCGTACGTTAATGAATTGGCCGGTGCAAAACCCAGTTCCTCTGTCAAACCAGTCATTGTCGCGCAGCTCATAAACTTTTACTCTCTTCTTGTCGTTGGCAAGCGGCGCCTGCATTGCCATGACTGAAGGAGAGAGAACAAGGAATGAACATCAGCAGGCAGCGATTCTGTTACCGGCTGCCGACTTTCTGTTTGGGAGGGTGGCGAGATGCGCAAAGTTGAGCGAGTTTCGGGTGCTGGTGATACAGAACAGGTGGCGCGGGGTGGATCTGCGGTCGAGGCAAGGTTGCGCCCGACAGGAAGGAGACAAGCGCGCAAAGCTCCAGGGCCGCGATCAAGAATCGGATGGATACAATAGATCAATGGGCGTCTATTGCAGTGAGCCGATAGAGGTGATGTTGAGGAGGGTGAGATGGGATGGACGAGGGAATGACGTGCATCCAACGAGTTGGGATGCCTTGTCGCGATAATTTTGTGACAAGAGAGATGGAAGTCCGAGAGGGAGCAAAGCCTGAGCCTGAGCCTGGGCCCGGGGCTCAAGTGCAGGGCTCTTTTGCGACCACTGATCCGTACGGGATGCAGCTGGTGGAGCGACGGCTTTGCCGAGACTGACAGCTGCCCACCACCGGGAAGTTTACAACGACTTAGCGTGCAAGGCGTGATGATTTGGGAAGTTGGGAAGATAGGGCGAATGGTCCACCCTGCGGTAAGGCGAGTTGATTGTCAGAGAGTCAAAGTCGATTCTTCTTGTTCTCGTGGATTCTTAGTTCCGTTTCAATATCAAATGGCAGTAGTATCGGTGCAACAAATACATGCAGAATACTCGGTAAATGGGAGAAGTACAAGTACAAGACGAGGGCGCAGGTGACAGGCAAAGGCTTGCGTGGGCTTAGTAGGTGGGAAGCGGGAGGCGGGAGGCGTGTATCGATGCAAGAGGTGGGAGGGAGAAATGCCAGGAACCCGGAGCTGGGCGTTGGTGGCTGCTCGATGGGCGTCCCCCCATCCCCTTCTCGCACCCCCGACAACCCCAAAAGTCGATGTGATGGATTCATCTTGCAGCCTCGGGCACCACTTTGGCCCATGTGACATCATGCAGAGGGCGCCGCCACCACCGCAACTAGTACCTAGGAGGCAGCTAGCCACATTTTTAGTTACATATTCATTATTATTAGTAGCATTGGCAGCTGGTGGAACATCTATATCAAGGTGACGTGGGGATCTCTGGCAGCTTTCATCTGCACCTGCGACTCCTTTACCATGATTTACGCCGGGCATCAGAATGTCAATATTACCATCATCAGAGAGTCTTTTGGAGTCTCATGCACATTACCCAATCCAACATGCTAATATATAGCCAACGCTCTCCCCCACCATCTGTCACCTCTCCACCATCCGATTAATCGCGAGCCTTCCTGATTCCACACCCACCACCCCTCACCCTTGCCGCCTGGCCCAAACCCTATTCCGCGGAAGAAACTGATGGGAACTGGCTCAAAGAGCCACAGTCCAGAGGTTGCAAAGTCGTTGGCCAATAATGACCCTGTCAAATAAAGATATAACACCACCACGAGCGCATTTGCCGTCTGGCCTATACCGGATGGCAGATTCTTGACCCACGAAGCGTGTCTGTATATGAGTTTGACTATGAATGATTGTAAGAGAATGCCAACGCCTTGTAGGAGAAAGAACAATAAGGGGCCAGAGAGTGGATGCGAGCCGTTGAGTGAAAATGTTGTGTAGCTAGCACTCGCATGGATTGAGCCTGACAACGTGAAAGCGACCAGAAGCTGAACGGTTCGAGCAATGTTGCCGCGAGCGTCCAGCTGCAGTCCCTCAATCAAGACTCGGGATGGTTCTGAGATGCCAAACCGAAACATCTGATGCCAACATCTGCCCCATAACCCTGCCAGCCCAGAGTACAGGACCGACGTCGATAACGATTGCCAATAAGGTGGATACATCCATGTTTCCGTGAGAGGTGCCTTTGTAATCTTTGTGAGGTCGACAAAAGTGGGAAGGATGGTAGCGAAGAACAACGGACTGAGGCTGAAGATCAACGTCAATGCAGTTACGACTCCACACATCGTAATCCACAGCCGAACAAAGCGAGTTGCAACTGGCACAGCATTGTCCATGTGAGCAAGCCAAGTCCAGGGTGTAGACGATTCCAACGGTGCCACGCCCAGAAAGTACGGGTCCGTGATCATGACTGCCTTCAGAAAATCGAGGAAGAGATAGTTGATGATAAAGCCTCGTAAGGCTCTCAACTGATGGGTTCGCGGAAAATGCGAAGCAGCCATCGATGTCTGCCTTTCGTCACCGCGAATCCCAGTGGCAGTAGTACTTTGGGACTTGTCTCGCGGCATTGATGGGTCAATCTGCCCTATGGTTGAGATTCGATGTTCCCATCCCACTGCTCGGAAACTCGTCATAAGGTCGACCGTCCAGTCGAGGACGTGGAACAAGTCCGAATTGTAAGGATACCCTTGCCATACCAGTTCGTATGGCTGTCGACAAGGTTGTTCAGGCTGAGAGGTCGAGGTGGAAAATGAAGACGAGCTGCCCACCTTCCGCTCCCTCATATTGCTCATTTGAGGTCGATCGCACTGCGAAGATGTTGCTGTGAACTTGAGCCACTCGGAATCTTCACTCTCTGTTTTGACCACTCTCTTTTCAAGCCTTCTGAAATCTCGCCCCACGTCGTTGCACAAGAGAAGAGTGCCAGACATGATGACACCCCAGGCTGTCATTAACCCAATGCCATAGCCGGCCGCAAGCCAGAGTGTCCGGCGATAGCATGCCACATAGGCACCATGGGCAAGGACCGAAACGAAAGCGACACATCGGACTGCTCTGGCCAGCCTTGGGGACAGTCTGGGGCTGATTGCGATAGCAAAGATTAAGTATAAGGCTGGGAGTGAATCCCACGGATAAAGGAAGGGAGTATACTCGTCTGCCGCTATTACCAAATCATATTGATGTTGCCGCTCTGCTAGAATTTGCCGATAGAGCGAAACATGGTTGTTAGTCATAGCTGGCCAGGATATGGGAGTGAAAGTACATGAGAAGAACAATAGAAGTCAACTCGATGTTGGTGGTGTCTTTGAAGTCATGACGTCTTGAAAAGTGATTGATCTGACCGACCATCCCAAGGATTGACATTGGGGACATCGTTCTGTTGAGCAAGACGTGTCCTGAGAACAACAGGTCGACAATCCCTTGAACCAGTAGGACCTAGTCTTTCATCTGTTTGGTACGATTACGCTGGAAAGTGACTGATGAACAGCATCCAGTCCCCCATTGTGGCGCCCTGTCGTCCAAATCAGGGTTGGGTCTGGGATTCTGGAGAAATCCACCTTCAGTAACTTTTCAATCTTGCCGAATTCCACGTGGAATCCAACCCATGCTTCTTACAAGTCCCGGGTCCATGCTGTCGGTCCGGACTGCCCTCGACTGTAAGTACAGTTCGGCGTTTCTCTACCATGAATTCGATAGAAGGGCTGCCCCCTTCATGCTACTATGTCCCCAGTTTCATCACCGCATCTGAAGAGGCGCAGATCCTCAACGAACTCCAGAAACTGCCCGAGTCTCGATGGACTGTGCTCACCCACCGGCGTCTATTATCTCTACCCTCAACCTTGACCGGTCCTTCGCGTGACACTCTCCTTGCTGCCCCCATGCCAGCGTACCTCGATGTGATCGTCGCCCGTCTTCAACAAGGCAAATTCTTTGAGAGTTCCACACACAAGGCTCCGAACCATGTCCTGATCAATGAATACAAACCAGGAGAAGGAATCATGCCCCATGAAGATGGTCCTGCGTACGACCCAATCACGGCGACGGTGAGCTTGGGGAGTCACACTGTGCTCGAAATCTACCGAAAGACTGAAGCTGGCGAACGAGAAGCGAAGCCTACATGGCGAATCTTACAAGAACCGCGGAGTCTGCTGGTGACGACGGGCGACATGTATGTCAACACGCTACATGGCATTTCAGAACTCCAGACGGATGAGAATCTGAACAGCGAGCAGATCATCAACTGGAATCTCCTCGGTGACCAACAACCCTACGAGAGCGGTCATGCTCAGCGGCAAACTCGCATTAGTCTCACCTTGCGTGACGTGATCAAGGTTGCCAAATTGGGGGGTGCTTTGAAGTTCATGAACAAAAGGCCCTGACGCTGTCTCTCCTATTTCTGGCTCTTTGACAGGATCTCTCCCCGTGGTGCCGGCATCATGGCTCCTTCGGCGGGCTGGTGTTTACTCTTGAAGTGGTCCACCATCTCGGCCATTGTTACCCATTCCACGCCCTCGTGTTTGTTGATGTGCTCAATTAACCTTTCATGCATGAGCAAGACATGCGGTCTACCGGACACATCCGGGTGGATGGTCATAGGGAAGTAAAATCCCTCTCTCTCTTCTCTATAAAAATAGTCGAAATGGTCCTGGGGACGGCTCAGAATTGCGGACTTCAGCAGGATAACGCTGGCAACTTACCCGCCACAAATCTTCAACGTCTCTTGGATTCACCCATCCATGACTGTTTGGCACCTTTTTCTACACGAGTCTGTCAGCTTGTCTGAAGAGGACATAGCCAGGAACCATTCTTCAGTCAACTCCAAGAGCGGTTGAAGCCGGGAGGACCTACCATGAACATCATTGGAGGCAAATCATCCAGGTACCAATTGGCTGGAATCTCCACGAGCCCCGTTTCCTGGCCCGTGGTGAAGGGCTTCATCCACTCAGCGGCTGTTTTGTTATAGTCGATCTTTGTCCAGTTATCTCCTGTCCGGAGATAGTATGCCTGACAGTCATGATGGCTCATGCTGTGGTCATACTCAATGCCATAATGAAGCAATAATTCGGTGGCTTCTCTGCTGACCTCCCACCACGGAGCCACGATTCCTCGGGGCGTCTTTCCATGACAGAAATCTGTGAGCATTCGGTAGGTATGGTCGAGCACGTCGCGTTGCTGCTCAAATGTCATATCAACGGGATTCTCATGGCTGTAACCGTGCAAGCCTATCTCATGCCCGGCGTCGCGGATCATAGCACATTCTTCTGGAAATGTTCTGTTGGGGCGACGGCGTCAGCTCACGAGGCAGGTGAAGCATCGGGTCCCCCTCGAAATTCAACTCCAAGTTCACGCAGAGACTTACTCTAGACTATGGCCAGGAATAAACCAAGACGCCTTGATGTTGTATTTTTCAAACAGCTTCAATAGCCTTCTCACGCCTTGCGTGCCAGCGAAGTAACCTACTCGGACGGAACACGAAGGGTCTGTCTCAGCTCTCTCTGCAATAAATTGTCCCTCGCAGAACTTGTGGAAAGTGGGTTTTGTGTGATGCTAGCCCGGCATATTTGGCGTTGACGTACCTCGAGAGATGTCACTGGTCGAGTCTTCACCCTTGTATGAACCCAACCATCCTGCTATTGCGTCTATATCAACGCCATAGGATACCAGGATCCGTCTCTTCGGCTTTGCAGAGTCCTCTGACATTATGCCAATTGATTTTCGCGATTATTTGCCTATCGTCGACCGCGACTCGCAAAACACAAAAGTCTATACAAATGTACCGCACGCAAGAAGTATGATGGGGTTCGCGCTCAGCGGGTGAGTCCCGAAGAGAACGGACGAAGGACCGATAACATATCTTCTGCTCCGACTCTGGAGATGTCCGCGACGTTCTTTTCCATGACGTTTAGAGAATATCCGAAGACTCGTGCATAATATCCACTACCGTGTCTAGGACGGGTCGATGCGGAGGATGCGGAGACGCATGATCCACCCGGCCACTGGGGTACCAGTTCCCCATCACAGCTTGTCACTTCTGCTGGGGCCGACAGCCTTGGCCAGAGATGTTCTCTTGAACAGGCTGCTCGGATTTCCATATACCTCAGGGTGGTAGAGATCAACGGGACTGCAGTTCGATTCAATATCAAAACAGTCCGTAAGCAGGGACGGATCGCACATGCGGCAGAAGGACCCGGTTGGCTCTAATCATGGATGACAAGATTCGTGACCGGATCTGTTAGAGTATCGTGGAAGATTCTTTGCAGAAAGACACCGCTGTCAGGGAGTGGAATGCGCAAGAAGAACTCGAGGCGATTAGAGCACCATGTTACCGCGAAGGGAACGGTGAGCTCTCGATGCGTGCAGTTCATCACAATATGCTGCCTGAGAGCTAATGGATGAACCCAACAGTGTGGCTGATGAAGTCTTGGATGTCTTCCTCTGCGTAGTCGTTCTGCCACTCGCCCAGCTCAATGGTGAACCCTCCTTGCAGTCCCTCATTCGGACCATTACCTCCTTGGGGGTGGTCATCATCTGCTTTGGAGACCGAGGGAATTAATTTGACGGGCAAGAATCTCGGGTAAGCGCCCTGTCGGTCCCACGTGTCCAACCGGGTGAAAGCGACCTCTAGATAGTCCAATTTCTTGGTCTGTCCTTCTCCTCCTGCACGATCCATCAGCAGCGCATACAAGTTTGCGACCGCCTGGCATAGTTGATCCTGTTTCAGCGGCGGCGGGTTCGTCCCAATGGAGGTATATTTGTCTTGGAAGCAAGATTTCTCGGTAGGAACCTCGATCCAGAGTCTGATCGTCCGCATTGTGGGTATGGACCGGATCAATGTTGACAATGCCGTGGTTGTGGGAGTGGGAGACAAAAACGGCGTAACGGCAAGGTCGTCTTTGTCACCCTGGGTCGGGCCAAACGAAGGAATGTCCATTTCCAGATGCGTGAGTGATGTCAAATGCGTTGCCATGAGCTGAATTTGGTCTGGGTTCAGATACGACAGTCCCTTGGGTCGGGTGGAGGTGAAAACAGGGAGGCTGTGCAGCTTGAGCACCTGCAGAGTCGGAGCGTGCAGGTTGGCTATGGTCGGGATGAGTGAGGGGAGTTGTCCCTGATAGTCGGTCGCGTAGATGGACGTGAGGTTTGGCAGGGATCCCATCGCAGTGGTCGCCACGGCCATCTTCCGTCTCATCCATTCCTCCTTGCCCGTGCCCTCGTGGGCCGGGTAGTATGGCACGAGAAAATGCAGCCGCAGGAATCTCTTGTCGCGGTAGTAGGACGAGTAGACGACGCTGCCAAAGTTGTTCCTGTCGATGTGGGTTTGCGCGAGCGGGAACGAATTGAACAAGTCGAAATCGAGCTCGGGCAGATTGACAGCGTCGTCGGACATTTGGCGTTTGAGGACACGCAGATGGACGTTGTGGTGTTGTGGCTGTCGGAGAAGAGAGAGGATGTTGGGGGGAATGGGCATGTTGACGCACCATCTGTGCTCAGGAGATGGGTCAGTTTTTGCTTCTCAGAAGAAGGGGCAGGTAGATGGTTGCTTTTAGAGATATCCTCACGACAAGGTGCGAAGGTTCTTGACGCTGTTGAGAATGCGCTCGAGTGCTGCGGAATCCAGCACGTTGGGCAGAATCGCGATAATCTCGTCGTTGTTACTGTTGTCATCATTCTCCTCGTCATGGTCATGGTTATGATCGTCATCACCATCTTCATCATCATCCTCGTCGTCGTCCTCCTCCTCATCAAACTGCCGGCGGTAGTCATATTCTCGCATCGCAGGCGATCCTATGCTAATCTCCTCAACGCGCCGGGCGAGGACGCTGTCCGGATTCGAAAGCTGCTGAACCATCTCTCGGAGTTGTCCATTCTCAGACTCGTCGTCTTCTTCGTCATCGGCGACGGGGAAATGATCCTGTTTCAGCAATGCTGTGACCTTGTCGGTGGGCAAGAGGATGCGGTCGTCCATGACTGGGAATATGATATGGCTGCCAACACGGGACGGGATTCTGAGTGATGGTGATGGAGAATAATAAAGATGAAGACAGAGACAAAATAATCCCTCACTCTCACTCTCTTGTCGAGAAGAGACAAGATTCTCTCACCGCATCTTGCTAGCAGAGTGGTATTTTGCTATGCATATCCCATATCCATGTCCTTAGCCATCTACCAAGAAACTACGAGGTAAATAGATACCTAACAATCCCCGGTGACCGAATTGCTGTCGTTTACCATGAGCTTGTATTCTCAGCCCCGTCAGTGGTTGGTGGACTTGCTATTCCTGTCACCGCTGGCGCCAAAAAGGAGGAGGAATTATTACCTCAATAAGCACTTGGTTGGAGAAAGCAGAATGACAGAGCGTCTGATGGGGCTGGGGATAATAGTCCCTTGGTGGCCATTGCAGATCTCTTGTTTCCTTTCCATGATGTGATGATGGTTTAATCCCATGCAATGCAAACAATCATAATAATATAAATATGATGCCCAAAAAGGGGAGAGATGAATCTCATCCATCAAGAGTCTGGACCAGGCCTGTCACTCTTTACGCCTTTACCTCCCTCTTTACCTCGTATTACTCCTCCCAATCTTTCTTCTCCCTTTGCCGCTCACCCGAAAAGCGCAAACTATTTGATAAATGGGCGATTATTTAATCAAGCGTCTTTGCTCACTCACTGCAAGCACCAATATGGGCATGGCGCTTCTTAATTACTTGTCACGGATTCCTGCCGCAGTTCATGCCGGGGCCCCAAGTTGCCCAAACCTTTGCCTGCTCAGCTTGTCCAGCGCGTCCATTTGTTCTGCTTGTCAAGCTGTCGATGCCTCGAGTCAATCAATCACCTTCAAACCTTGTCAAGGCCGTCCCCGCCTCTTGAATCCTTCTGGCGATTGCTCCCGATCTTTCCCACGAAACAAGTCACTGGGCATGTGTCAACACCACCAATGCCAGTCCCTCCGCCAGTCCCTGCATGCTGGATTTCTTTTCTCCGGTCCCGCCGGCTCCCTTAGAATGGCAGAAGGCACATGAAAGAGTCTCGTCTCCCTCGTATTTCCCCTCGGCATCTCCATCACCTGAGTCCGTCCTCGATCACCAACAAGTCATAGCTCTTTCCTCTCTGTGCAGTCTCATTGTAACCTCATTTTTCAGCCGCTTCTCTGTGTCCAACGACTTTTTCTCGGGAGCATATAAATCAGGGCCAACAGCTGCCGCCGAGTCCTAACAACCACGCCCGCCCACCTTGGGCCGCGCACGGCGCGACACCAGCCCAATGCCTTGTGATCTCGCCTCTACCTGATAGCCTCCTGTCGCCGTTAGTCACCTGAGCGAGAAAGAGATAGGAGAAACACAACAAGAATTCAATGGCTTAAGCCACGTGGTCGACAATGTCGAAAAGATCATGTCCGAATATAACCAGACCTTCTCTCCAGATCAGCTACGAGCCATCGATATCGCCGCCCGCATATCATCATGTCTGTCCATATCAGGCTCCTGCTTCACCATAATCAGCTTCATCAGCCACCCGCCGCTCCGAAAACCTGTGAACCGTCTTGCTTTTTCTATCGCCGTTGCCAATATCTTTGCGTGTTCGGCGTATAGTTGGGGTATTCATCCGATCAATGCTGGGAGGGAATCTGCGTGGTGTCAAACCCAGGGGTTTTTCATTACTTGGTTTGTGATGACGGATCCGTTACTTGTACGGCATGACCCACCGTCGTTTGGTTACCACCTTTTTGTTGATTGAGCTAACAAGGGTTTTGTTGTGTTTAGGTCATGATCATGGCGTTCAACGTTCTTCTCACTGTTCGAACGAAACGAAATGCCACCGAGCTCAAAAGGGTCGACGTTTATGCGATATTGCTGGCTTTTATTCTCCCGTTCATTCCGGCTTTGGTGTTTTTGTGCTGGAGGCCCGATGGCAAGTCTGTCTATGGGCCGGCGACCATGTGGTGCTGGATCGCCAAAGAATCCCAGATCTTGCGTCTGGTAGCCTTTTATGTGCCCATTTGGTGAGTTTGGCATGGTGTTGAGGGCGATGGAGTGTCTCAGTCGCAACCTAATTACATACTGACTGGGCCTGGAATAGGTGCTTCATCCTAGTCGCCATATTCCTCTTCGCTCTAAGCGGCAAACAAATCCTTCTGGTGCGCCGCAAGGTCAAATCGGCCAAAGCCGAATGTGTACTGTACCAAGACGAGCCAGGCCCAGACGGATACCCACCTCCACGTGAACGCCGGTTTTCGTCCTTCGCCAGGGCCTTCATGTCGTCCACACCATCGGCGACGCGAGACTCGGATAGGTCCAATGTGCCCTACAGCAGCAACAACAACAACGCAGGGCCAGAGCCGTCATCGCCCGAGTTCAAGGGTTTCGAGCCGCTCGCGCCCATCCATTCGCGCGAGGTCCTGGATCTGGAGTCTCAGTCTCACCATCCCCCGTCATCGCCGCCGTCGCACGAGTCGTCGATCGTTGCCACGCCAGGGTCTCCGACAGTCACCCTCGACCGATCTGGTTCCGACCAGACGATGCTCCGTGGGGTGGCACCGGACCGATTCCCGCCGCGGCGGAGGTCGTCGTCGCGCTTTGATCGGATACACTGGAAATACGCCAAGTTTGCTTTTTTGTGCACGATTGTCTTGTTCATTACCTGGGTATGTTGCAAGAGCCGTACAGTACTCCGAATTCTTTACCCTTCTTCCCTCCTCCCGTCCCCCCCTTTCCGCGAGAACAAAATAATATGCCCTGATGATAACCAATGAATCACGACGCCGACACAAATACTAAGTACCACGTTCCAAGCACTAATCTCATCTGCTGTCAACAGGTCCCCATCAGCGTCAACAGGGTCTACAACAACTTCATCTCCCCGAACCACCAAATCTACGGCCTTTACCTGACCTCGGCGGCGTGCATCCCGCTGCACGGCTTCGGCAACTTTGTCATTTACACCACCACCAGCTGGGCCGAGTGCAGAGACTTTCTGACCTGCTCGACTCATCGTAGTTCCCGGCGCCCGTCCTCCTCGTCGGCTATTGTCGTCCCTGTCGGAATTGGCCCTGGCGCCACCACGGCCGTCACCGTCCCCGTGGGAGGCGGGGAAGACCGCGCTCGCGAAGGTGCAGGCCAGGATGGTGAGGAGATGGCAACGACACGCAGGCTCTGGTTGATCCAGAATAATGTGCTCAGGGGTTGGGCAAAGCGTGGTCACGAGATGTGGGCGACACGGAGACAATGACAGTGCCCGTTCGAGACCCGACCGTAACGTGGCGTATATGTCCCGCCCAGGTCGACTGAGCGGCCGCCGCCACTTAACTGGTACCATTACCATCTCCCAAGTATCACATACGCTAAACCCAACTTGTGGGACATATACCCCGTACGGGGTACTCGGCTCGGTGCACATATCATATATACCAGTTACATTATAGCATTTATAGCATTTATACCAAAGATAGAATAGCCGGCGCAACGAAAAAAAAAGGAAGAAAGGAAAATTGAAACCCCGTCAGGGAACCACTACCTAAAAAACACCGATTCGACACTACCGGGGCACCACCCACTAAAGCACCCTCCCCAGTCAAGTGAAAGGTATTCCACGTCTGGCTGGCCGGGGGCTGATTAAAAGTAATAAGTTAGATTCAATGCCAGAGAAAAGCGGATGATGGGTTGGGACTGGGACTGGTAACCGTAAGGGTAACAGTCACCCAGACAGTAACAACAACATGTGAATTGGGTCGTACCTCAAGGATACTAGGAACCAAGAAAACACACGAGTCATATAAAGTCAAGGAGGAGAGGAGCATGAAGTTGTTACCTAGCTTGGGTGGCTGAAAGAGCCGCATATTTTTTGGATTGCTCTGTTACAGACAGGTAGACTTTCATCCACGTTGTGGCCAATAGCCTCTTCCTCGAAAATTGCCCGTTGCTTTTCTATTTGGCTGGAACCCTATGGGCATATTTTCTCTGTGTTTCCACCGCATCACCTGCTCTATTACGCTTCATGCTCGGTATCCCGACTCTCACCGTGATGGTGGTGGTGATGATGATGAGTGTGCTTCTTCGCGTGCAGGTCCTCCACCGGTGCATCAACAACATAGTTCATCGTCTTGCGCAAGTCCCCCAGGAACAAGCACGCGATGCACGCCAGTGCCCCAAACGGCGCGGCGATGATGTAAACCACTCGGATCGAGTCTGCAAACGCTTGCTTGAGCGCCGCAACGCCAGCGGCGATGATGGCAGGTGTCACGCCCGGGATGCTACTCAGCGCCGCCGTGTTGCCCGCCGCCAAAGCTTCCACGAAAGTCGGGATAGAACTGGCTGGGAGACCTGCTTTTGCGGCCGCTCCTGCGACGCCGTTGGGTATATTAGTGCCAAGTCGAGTGTTCAGCGCAGCTGCATAGATGGCCGTGAAGACTGTGGCTGCCACTGCTCGAGACGAGGTGGTTACAGCTGTTGCTGTTGCTATCAGGCTGTGTGGCGTGGACAGCTGGACACCGGCAATGATCAGGATGAGCGGTGCTCCAAACCCAAAGCCCGCGAGACCACTCATCACCACGGCATTAGTGCTATCCTTTGGTTGAATCGTAGTCCATCCAATGATGGCGCCAGTAAAGATCAAGTAACCCAGGAAGAGTGGTTCTCGGATTGTGCGGAATCGGGTGCTTGCATAACCCCAGATCACGGTGGAGATGCCGCCCGCAACCCAGAAGGGCATTTCTCGAGACACGAGCAACAGTGGATCCGTTTCGAAGAGCGAGGTTGTTCTGCAAGCATGTGATTAGTCTCCGACCATAGTATGTGGTGGCATGGAGCAGGGGAAGACTTACAAGACAGGATAGAAGACGATATACGAGAAGAGCAGGATGCCTTCAATAAAGATCAAGCCCACACAGATGGCAAATGTGCGGCCCGCTGCCCTGCCCCCACCAAACAGAGTGTGGTTCATAATCCCAGTCTTGGTGCCTTTCCACTCGTAGATGCCGAAGGCGATGAGGATGACAATGCCCACAACGAGAGTTGCGAGTGTGCGTGAATTCGTCCAAGGGTACAAGTTACCTCCGAGATTGAGACCAGTGAGGAACAGTGACAAACCGGCTGTAAGAAGACAACAGCCGGGGATATCGATGTGGCCCAGTTTCTGCCAGAAAGAGAGGTGGTCGAGCCTGGTGTGTCTCTTTGGTGGTCTATATCCCACGAGGATACCTGCAGCGGTGGCTCCCCAGAGGCCAACTTGGATCCACTGATACTGGTCAGTATTCGCTAATAGTGCACAGTAATCTTGGAACATACGTAGAACTTGCGCCATCCGTCCTCTGCATTACGTTTCGTCAGAGCGCCGATAGACATAGGCCCGAGAATAGCACCTAAAGATGCAGCAATGTTCATGCATGCTTGTGCCACTACAAACACATCAGCTGAGATATGGAGGACTGGCCATTATACTTACTCGGCCTCCACTTCCTCGGTAAGATTTCACTGGGAACACAGTATGCGAGCGGCACTGCTGCGAAACCAAAGCCGATCAACGTTTGGCCCACGATCAGTCTGTAGATATTGCCTGAGCCCGGAGAGATGGCAGCCCCAATAAGGGAGATGAGGCATGAGCCCACGAGGATGCTCTTTCGAGCTTGGAAGGTGTCTGAGGCAAGAGAAATGACAGGGCCCAGGACAGCCTGGACAAGTGAAAGAGAGTTGGGGACCCAGGTCTGAGTTTTGGGATTGTTGAGACTGTCGCCGATAAAGTCGAGCTGTGATGTAGACATTCAGCACAGTTTTTCCAGGTATCAAACTGGGACAAATACATACCACAGCCGGAGGGCCCTGCAACGCCACAACTTGAACCATATTCAAGAGAAACATGGAAAAAAGGGCAATATAGGTTCTCGCATGAAGCTCTGGCTCGACATCCACCTCGTCGTAGTGGAGGTTCTGGTCATTTCCGTCAACGTCTTCAATCTGCTTCTCACTCGACAGTTCTCTCTTGTCCTCGACTGAGACCAGCTCGGCTTCATTGGGCTGAGCAGCCTTGCCTAAACCGCCCTCAACAGCCGCGTGAGAAGTCATGTCTGCGTGAAAGTCGGCGGTGGGTTTTCTCGAGTGCTCGATAGGTAGTGTAGGTCACATCGGTCGTGTCACTCCACAGGCAGGGAGGGACGAGTAGCGTCTTTGTAGTTGTAAGGCGTTCTGTAGACCGACATTACCGCGTGCCAATGCTGGCCGTGACGATCCCCTCTGATAGGGCCGGGATATCCGATCTGCATGCGGGGAACAGGGATGAAGGTGGACATTTGGGTGACTTGGTTAGACTTGTGGTGGGAAGTTGGAGGGCGATCAATAGAGTTGGTGGCTGTTTTGTGGGACATCGATGGCAGCCACCAACAGATGCGAAACTGCGACTTTTGACACCAACTTGGCAGACCTGCCAATGGCCACTTTTTCTACCTGCGTCCTTCTTATCTGCGACCATACTTGGTAAAGGTACTACCATGATGTGCTGGCAGGCCGTCAAAGCCGCAATTTATTGAAGTTCTGCAATATACTGGGATATGAGCCCAACAGCAAACCCCTGTGCCCCTATGCGCCTCAAGGGGCTGACGGTGGATCCCAGTTGACTGGTCCGGATCACCATTTCCACCACCACCACCACCGAATCCTTCTTCCTGCTTGGTGCTGGGATTGTGGTATCAACCAGCCCAATCTCAAACTTCCCACGACACGCTCAATCTAGCAATCTAGACCTTGGAGCGCGACTTCCGATCTCCCCACAACAAATAATCGCATATCTCTCGTCCATCATCGCCCCCCTTTTCCCACAAATCCAGCAATGCGGGGGATTTACAACAAAGCCACTAACCCCACAAATTGCTCCTAGTCTCCTCGTCTAGACAACCATTTGCCCCAGGACCGAGGTCTGTAACGTCGCGGCCGAGAGATTGCTGGGCATTCATCAGTTCCCACGGGGTTGCGGGGATGTATCGGTGCGAAAGCGACAAGAGAAGTCTGGGGTCAAATGGCCTGGAATGTACATGCACACAAGGCTCTGTCAAGGTCAAGCGTGGTTACAGCTCGGACCATGTCCCTATTCCCACCACTTCGGTTCCGCGCTTCGAATGCACCTCAGATTCTCTAAATTTTCTCCGAATTGGCCAAGAATAGTAACAAGAAGATAAATTCCTCCATATGGAAACCGTGTACCAGACACTGCCCCACTGCCACTCCAGCATCAGTCTCTCAGAACAGTCCGGCTTAGAAAACAGCCATACCCTGCGCGTTCTTGTCGACGCCCATGGAGTCCAACTGGAAATGTTGAACCTGCTTAGCCGAACCCGGCCCTCCAGAGACATCCACCACAGTCACTGCGGCAGGTGTAGTTCCATTGCCTGGAGACAGAGCATAGATGAAGTTGCCTGCCGCTTTCAAGTCGATGAGTCCCGGGTCCCCGTTTGCTGATAGGTCCAGAGTCGAAATGATGCTAGCGTCTGTCAAGCTCATTTCCACAAGACGATTGACGCCCACGTCCGCGACGAATGCAGTCCCAGTCTTGGGAGAGATGGCCGCCCAGCAGGTGGCAGCTTGACCATCCACCGCTTGCTTTGCCACAGTTGACGCCGTGCCACTCGCCGGGTCCACGGACACAACAGCAGCGCCAAAAGACGCGTCAGTCACAAAGACATTTGACGTGCCACGAATGACTTCCGAGCCGAACAGAACGGCTGTTCCTGCCGGGGAGCTGCGTGTATCCGTCATTGAAAGACTTGCTCTCATATGCCAATTTCCTCCTTGCACGGGGAAGACTGAGAAGAACCCCGTGTTGTTGTTGGGTGGATCACCCTTGACCGTCGTGAACAGTCGAGACTCGTCCTCTGAGAAGAAGACTTGGGACACTGTGTTCGTCGGACCAACAGGAGGAGTTGTCTGGACCAGGTCAAAGGAGCGCAAGCTGTCCATCGCACCGAGACCTTGTCTCGAGAAGGATGAACAGGAAACACCATTGACCTCGCCGGTGGTCCCAACACAGACAAGTCGATTGCGGGCTGACGCTGCGACAGTATTGGGAAATTGACCGGGGAGACTGACGGGAGCACCGACTACGGTGAGCTTCGTCGGGTCACGTGAGTCAATCGATAGCATTGACAAGGTATTGCTTCCAGCATTGACGGCGAAGATATTCTGTTCATCTCGTCAGCCATTCCATATGTCCTCATTTTCAATGCTGAAAAGGGTTCACATACGTTTCCAGCAATTGTCAAAGCAGACTGCGATATCAAAGCGTCAGGAGCTGCCGGCTCATTGTCTGCAGTGACGCTATTTGATCCCTCCCCTCCAGTCGGAGTCAGGGAACCTTGGGAGAGCATGCCATTGGCGGCAACGGGCACTGCTGCGACAGAGTTGCTGGCATCATTGGTGATAAAATATATCGCGCGAGCCCCTTTTGGATGAGGGTTCCCCCATTTGCCAGGGTGCGGTGATGGCGCGGACCAGACGGAGCCAATTGATGCCGCCAGAAGCAGCGAGGTTGAAAGGAGATTGTTCAACATATTTGTCGCTTCAGATTGTCAACGTCCAGCGTTAGGCTCCTATGAAAAGATGAAGTGAATTCAGGTTGGCAGTGTTTGTCTTGTGGGAAGCTGAATTGTCTTTTCTCTCCGTTCATGCGCATCTGCTGCCGACTTTATACTTCGTGGCATGGCAAAAAATCTCCGCGACAACACTCCTCGAACCTCTCAGAGACACATTATTCGGCACCTGTACTCCTGTGTAATCTCCACGGGAAGGGAAAACGTGTCAGTCGATACAACGGCTGTGAATCTCTCCCTCGGCGTTTGTGTCTCTCATCGTGGATTATACAATATTTTATTTCCTTCTTGGGACAAGACCGAGAATGGCGTCGGCAGCAGCAAATTGCGCTAATCCCAAACAGGAAGAAAATGATTATCCATCGAGGGTCCGCGAGAGGCGAAGAGCGAAAGCGAATGAGGCTCCACTCACGAGGCGTCAAATCCAGGGGCCCATCGCCGCGGGGCCTGAGACACAAGCGAAACGGCAGTCAGCCGCCGTTGCAACTGTGGATGTTTCTCGACTCGGACGTTGTTTTCGATGGTTTCAATGACTTCACCTCATTCCTGTATTCTCGTTATCATGCGCGTCCAACTCTTCTATCAACGAGGACGACATCTGTGTCTGCTTTGAGATGCAGCCATGTCGGACATATTCCGACCACTTTTTAGGTCCGTGGAGGGTATGTACCTGCCGACCGTACCTCGCATTCGTCTCCAAGAAAAACCATGTCCTGACCCAGATCCTATCCAGACAAGGTTGCGAACAGACGTGAACAATTGCGCAAGGCCCAGAGGTTAGTACTGTCGCATCAGGCGAATCGGACGGCTGCGATCTGGAGATCTTCGCTGCCCACGAGGTTGGATTGACTAACACGGTATATCCGACTGACCAGGACCTTTCGCGAACGACGAGACCAATACCTTCGGGTTTTGGAAAAGTCCGTTAGGCGCTTACAAGCCAACGAAGCGAGGCTGCAGGCTGAAGTCGACCGACTCGAGCGAGATCTGGCGGCGGCCAACAGCAAACTTGCACAATGCGAGGCCGAGTTGCACAAGTCGGCTTCCTTGACTCATACTGAACACGCCTATGCGAATAGAGGCGGCTATGCGACCGGACTCGGAGGATTCAACTTCGCATCTGAGATGGGCAACTCAGCTCGGCCGGCTTACCTCTCGTCGCCCAATGGCTGGATGGAGAGCGGAGCGGGTGCGTCTGTCAGCAGCAGCTCCTCGAGCACTCTGGTCTGGATCGAGACGGAGAATGGCCAGCCTGTCCAGATGCATGTCCAGCAGAAGCAAGAATTTGGCTTCCTGCCGCCCAGTGCTGGAAAAAATTCAGCCTCTCTGGGCCGAGATAGAAGCGCAACGACAGTCCTTGTGGCCCACCTCGACGCTGTGGTTGTTGCCATGGAGTTTGTGCTCAAGTATGTTATAACAGATTATCATATCCTCCCCTTCACGCGCTGCATATGTACGGCACTGAAGAGATGAAACCCAAACCTACAGACTCGAATCGCCATGTCTCCCACACCTCCGCCAGAACGAGGACGAGGACAACGGCGATACCACCTCGAGCAGTCCTCTCCATGGCCATGTCCATACAGCGTCGGCGGCACTTCTGTGCTGTTATCCGTCTCCATCATCTTCATCGCCAGCCTCGTCATCCTTTTTATCACCGCCCAAATCGACGTCGTATACAAACATCAACAAATACGCCTCACCACTCTCACCCCCAAATTCGACTCCCTCTCCTTCCTCCTCTACCGCTCTTACGTGGCCCGCCCCAAAAGCGACCCTCGAGCGACTGCTTAATATCTCGGACGACTTACCTATCGACCAGGCCTCGGAACTAACGCCAATCCAAGTATGGCACTGTGTGCAGCAGTCGCCGGGTTTTTCGTCGTTGATGGTGCAGGGCTTGAACCAAATGGCTGAGAGGCTGGTGGCCCACGTCAAGTGTTACGGGTACGTAAGCCATCTGTCCGCGTCCATCGAATGTATACCGTTTGGAGGATTGGACCGATCCACTCTCAGCTCCAGTCGTCATTCCGCCTAATTATGATCCTATCTGTATCTATGACATGGTGTTCTCACTGCTGACCTTTTCTTACTGCTACAGATTCGGCGCTGTTGTCAGACGGGACTTTTTGACCAAATTATTGTCCGAGATGTGATTCTGCAGGACCATGGTCTTGCTGTTATTATCACTGTCAGTGCCACTGTTACGTCTTGGAGACGGGGGACATATGTAAAAGGAGGGTTGCGAAGAGAAGGAAAGATGTGAATGAGGAATGAATGTCGACTTGTCAAATGACACTGTTCAAAACGAATAAAAGAATACATCCGATGTGCAGGAAGAATCTTGAAATTGTATCCGTGCAGTCGTCTGACTATTGATCTATCGATCTGTCGGTCGATCGGATTCAACGCAAACATTGCACGGATGAGAAAGTTGAAAGATGATAACCACCACCGACAACGCCGCGGCCGTCGTGATAATCGTCATCATCGTAGTAATAATATCCTCCAATGTCCTCCCAACCACCCCTTCATTCCAAGACTCTCACTCACTTGCTGAAGACTCGCATCGTCCCTTGTGCTAATGAGTGAGTTATTCGATGAAAGAAGCTTCCCTGTCGCATGGGCGCCGTGGATGCGTGACCGTAAAAGCCGTCGAGTTGATTAAATTATTGTAGAATTTCTCAAAGAAAAAAGGGAGTTGAAAAATTAGGTTTCTCAGCAACACCGCCTCTCAACTGCCGGGTGGTATTGGTTTCGTACTCGTTATAGTATTCGTCTGTCCGTTTGTCTGTCCCGTCTGTCCAGCCCATTTCCCATTTCTAAAACCCCACGCCGAAATGGCATTTGTGAAATTGAAAGATGAAAATTGAAATTACCACTGTTCCTTCTCCCCAAAACCCAAGCCAAAAACCCCAAACCCCAACTGCGCCTTTGCTTGCTTGCTTCTTTTTCCTTGCCCTCTCTATAACCCGGAGCCTGACTGAGCTTGAGGCTGGGCCCTATTTGCGAGCCGAGGGCTGACACTCCGGGTTCCCGAGGTCGACCCAGAAGGCGGCCGTGTTGAACTCGGAGTAGACGGTGTCGATCTGGACCTTTGAGACGTCGACGTCGAACTCGATAAAGCCGTGGACGCGCATGTAGTCGCTGCCGATGCCGTAGGCGTTCCAGCGCCAGAAGATCTGGTCGCACGTGTAGGCGGTCGAGAGGGTCTCGACGGTCGGCAAGGGAGGCGTCACCGACTGCGAGGCGATAAAGGCCTCGAGGGACGGGTAGGCGGCTGAGCTGAACTGTATTCGCACACAAAGGAAGACAAGTGGTCAGTGATGGGTCTTGATATGATATCAAGGAAAGGGGGAAAGAAGAAATTGGGAACTTACATCGCGCTGCCCCAGCGTGTTGATCGAGTCGCTCCACACCTCAAACTTGTCCGACAGGATCGCGTTGGCTGTGGCATTGAAGTCGTCACCGCCGGGGTACTGCAGGAGGTAGGTGTATCCCTTGACCAGGACGTCGACGTCGGCGTCGTTCAGGCAGTGGCCGCCCACCGTGCCCGAGTTCAATGGCGGATTTCCTTGCGTGTTCCTGCCCCGGCCGGGGACAAATCTCGGCCGGTTGGCGCGGGGGTGGTGTCGTGGTCCTTCTCCTGCTGGTCCTTGTTCAGGTCCTGGGCCTGGACGACCGACGCCGTTGGGACCGTCGCCACGGCCGCCTTGTCCTGGGCCCTGTCCGAGGACGGTGGCGGCGAGGGAGAGGACAGCAATGTCTGTGAAGCGCATGGTGACTGGAAGGCGATATTGAAGATGACGTTGTCCTAGCGTAAGAGATTGGAGTGAAGAAATGTAAATGAATGGATGGGAAGTTGTTCCGGGATGACTGGGAAATAAAGGAAAGACTGGGACAAGGGAAGAGGAAAAAGGGACCACTCGCAAAAAACAGACGACACAGCCCTGATATAAACACTTTTGTTCCCTTTCTCTCACTCACTCGCACTCACAGGTACGGGAACGAGTAAGAGTATAACGAGCGGAGCAGCGGGAAAAACGCGTCGTACTTCTTTCCTCCAACCAACTAACCAACCAACCAACCTACCTACTTACTTCCTTCCTGCATCGTCGGATGTCCTGATCCAAGCGACGCGTGTTTTGGGGGAGGTGGGAAGTGGGAAGGTGAGAAAACTCTCGAGTGGCTTGCGTGCATGCGCTGTTTCGGACAATGTAATCATGGATGATGAAGATCTTCCCAGCAAGGAGCAGATCCCTCCACGAGCAAGATTCCCTTTTAATCGGCATCTGACAACTAGAAAAACCCACTCTTGGGAGATCTGGGTTGAATTCAGGACGGGCAAATTTTGAGTATGTTTATTGGCTTTTTGGGGATCTGCGCGCGCCGGCTGTATGCATGACACGATGATACGATGCGGCACGTGTAAGAGATACCTGTGCCGTGTCGAGGGTCGATGTAATGTGCACCAGACTTCCCAGCCAAGTCAAAGTAAAAAGTCAGGCTAAGTTGAAGGCTCTTTGCCGGAGAAGGTTGGGACATTGTCGCGAGGCTGGCTGCAGGTAGACTTAAAGTACCTCTGGCTACCTACGGAGTACGGAGTTGCAGCAATGTTTTGCGGTCGCGGAGTACAAGTTTCTGCATGTCCCGAGCTCCGAGTTCCGAGAAATCCACTATATGGCAAGTAGTCGGTATAATATACTTTCAAGGACTGCCAAGTCAGGCAATGACCGTGTATATCCATCGAAATTGGATATCCCTACCGTACCCCTAATATGGTGTCTAACTCGGCGACTCAATGGAGGTATTTCTTCCAAAGCCGACACTCTCCAAGGTTTCGTTAGAGAAGGGGACTAGCCAGCCATTCCAGCCAGCCATACCGCCAATTTCATGGAGCATGGTACTCGGATAAGGAGACATGTAGTGATTGCTCCGGAATCGGGACCAGGGGCCGAGAAGTAGGCAGCCTTGCGACAGATAGACGGATAGGTAGATAAGTCCACGACTAGGAAACATTGCTCACTTGAAAGTCCAGCGAAGAGGAAACGCCATGTGCGATGCACCTTAACTTGGTACATAGAAAGACGGGAAGATAATACCTAATCGATGAATTAGATGAGCCCACGCGCCCTGTGCCCCATCTACATGTTTGCATGCTTGCATGTCTCGTCTTTGCATTCAAATCAAACTCTTTCCAACATGATCGACATGATCGACATGGCTCCATACAAGACACATTGATGGTCAATACTGTATAATTTCTTCACATACGGCCTTCAACAGTCAACAACAAAATAGGAATTGGTCCAGTCTCGTTCCTGTGGCTGCATTGCATACCTGCATCGTTAGCTCCTCTCGAGTCTCGACACCGGCTCGGCCGGCTGCTTGGGCTTGATCTTTATCACGCATGCTCAGAACAGCCTTCGACGAAGTGTGGTTAACGAATCCAATTATTATGTGCTAATGCCAGTCGCTCGGATGTCCACGCATCTCGTCTTGCTGCTGTGTAATGCTTTCCCATGCAATGCTCCGTCGTCGCCCGATAACCCATCTCTATCGTTCACATCATTGCTCTTAGTCGCAAACCTTCCATGCAAAAGTTGCCAGAGACACCTAATCCACGCCGCATATGAAACACGCGATGCTCACTCATACAGAGTATCAGCGAAAGACTCATCCAACCAGCACTGACAAGTGCATATCCTGCGCCGGAACAATGCAAACTGAACCTAAACAAGCACCCTCGTCTTCAAGCCTTGGCTACCGCATCTATCTTCTTCATCGTCTCCTGGATCTCGTTCAAAAGGCCTTTTCGAAATCCACGTGCTTCCGTAGAATCCACGTCAATTGCGTCCGCTTTCAGGATAATATGCGTCATGACGCTCTCACTCAACTTGCGGTGTTCTTTCTCCCGATCTTGCGCCGAAGAAGGGGGGTTGGAGATGAACTTGCGGCAGAGAGGAAGCCATTGCTCGTGGTAGTTATCCGAAAGGGCCTGTAACTTTCCCAATGGACTGTTCGGGTCCGCCGCAGGCAGTGAGGTGGGAATAGGTGTCGGGGTGGACGACGGTCGAGGTGACGTTCCCCGGGTGCGAGACGGCTCGCGTCGCACGGGCCGATCATCAGGCTCTGGTCTTAAATTGGTGCGAGACTGTCGTTCGGACGTGGTCCCAGAAGAAACGTGCCCGTTGGGATGAAGAAAACTGGACGATGCCGCAGGTCTCTGCTGTGGCAGATTTTCGTCGCTACGATGTCTGACCGAAGACGCAGCACGGGGCCGGCGCCGAGGATTTTGCTCAGGAACGTCCTCACCGCCCGATGAGTGACTATCTCTATCGCTGTAGTCCAGTATCGCCTCGGTCTTGATGGCTGCCACCTCGCTGTTTTGCTTCATGTTATATTTTCGCAACGGCCACCCATCGTGCTTTAGGTCGCGCTTCTTGTACACCAGTCGCACTCTTCTGGGATCCGTCTGCAAGTACCGGGCGACGGCTTCTCGAAGTTGACCGACATAGGCGGTCTCCTCACTGATGGAATATGGAGGGAATTCGACAGGAAACAGAGAGGCCATGTATCGCACAAGGATGACATCCGGAGCATCAGGGTCTTCTATCGGCACCTCATGTAGTCTGGACACAGAGTGACGATGCGGCTCTTGAAGCATGCCATGATCGGCGTCAATGTACTCAAAGTGATTAGACAGGTTGCGAGTGTACGGATCGACGATGTTGCTGGTGTAAGGCGAACCCCCACTACGACCACCGTAGGCGACGTAGCTACCGTAGCTACTCATGAGATAGCGGGCAACAAGATAGACGAGGGAGAGGATGAGGGCAGCAAGGGTCGTGTAGGACGCGGTGGAGTACTCTGTCAGGAGAAGATTGACGTTGTTGTGAAAATCGGCCGGCAAGTGTCGAAGGATCGGTTGGGCGAGGTTGTTGAGATTTCGTACGAGATCAGAAGACCAAGTCTGAAGGCTTGAGGACGCCACGGTGAAGGACTTGGATTGATCGAGGAGGCTGAAGAATTGTGTGAAATTTCCCGATGGATCTATTCACTGATTATTTGGATGGCGAAAGGGGGGGAAAAGCTGGAGTTTCTGTGCTTTAGGAAGCGCGAGGGCAGATCTCTCGACGTTCGTCACCAGCTCCGAGTGTATGTAATAGCGTGGATCGGCAAGGCAGGGGATGGAAGGATGAAGGCGAAAACAACTTTGTATTGGAAAGCACACCATATGACAAGTCCAGTCGCCGCAGTTGGTGGATTGGGTGGTGGCCTGGGCGCAGGGGAGGGGGGAGAATGCGCTCCTTTGAACAGGCGCAGTTTGGTCGGTGGTGGGTGCGAATCCGTTAGTCTGGTTTAGGCTCGGCTCTGGCGGGCAATAGAGATGAAGAAATCGAGGTGGATGACGCAGATTGTGGGTGTGTTGGTTGGTGTTGTGGTGCGTGAAATTATATCAATCAGGGTTCAAGTGGACTTTGGGTAGTTGTTTGACTTCTCGGGCATTCAAGGGGAGTTTCTTCGGAGAACTACCAGTAGTAGAGATTGGAGTCCAGGCCTTGGGAAAAAGATTTTTCTAGGTAGAGGGAAAAGGAGAGGCAGAAGCGCAGGCGTCGCAGGTGGGATGATTTCTCTGAGCCTAGACATGCGGTTGCGGAAAAATAGTTTTGCCGATACGATGCGACATGTGAGCTGCTGAATTTGAAACTATGAGCGTTTCTCACCATCACCAATGTCAACCAAGTTTGTCATGTCTCGGGCAAAAAGAGCGCACCATGATGTTGCAATTTGGAGAGAATCAATTCATCCAATTTTAGGAGAAATGACACGGACACACGCGCTCCCAGATCTCACCAAAGTACTCATATCGATGGCGGTGCCTCTAACATTGGGAGCAACTGATGCTAAAATGAGGATACGGACACCATTGCGTCCAACAACAGAAGATTATCATTATAAATGATGACCATCCAGCTAAGAGGAAATCCATCTGTTTTGTTGAAATGATGCCCTCTTCTCATCAATGTGCGATTCTTACCCAGTATTTTTCAGCCTCACCAATGCCACCCTCCAGCACCACCGCAACACCAAAGTCCTTCGCCTAAATTCTGCCACTGCCTTTGTCCTTTTGTCCTGTCTACTGCAGTACTTGTAAACGATCGCCACAGCCTATTTCTGACCATGACTTCGTTTTAAGCCAATTTACCCCGGACTCGGATCGTTGAATCCGCTACCGAGCCCCGTTGGATCAGATCCCAGACAATCGATACACCGCAGGGCGCGGCCGCAGACGGGGCAGTTCTTCCTCATGGTGTTCCGATTTTAATCTACCAGTAGTCATACGGTCAGCCTTTTTGCACGTCGCGTGAGCACTCTCCGTCGATCCTAGTGGCAAGAACACCTCACCAAGGTCTCACAAACTGTCTTTGGTGCCTGGAAGTTCCTCCCGCCTGTCTTGCACGCGAACCACACAAAAATCACGTAGCTCCAGCTCCATCTCCAGCACAACCGCGTCGTGGAGTTGACAGGGTCAGGCACACAGGCAATGAACTCGGAGGAAAACGCAGGGAGAAGAGGAGGTCAAGGGCTACTAACCATCCCCGGCTGATGTCATGGCGCGGCGTCGTTTGGGTGCCTCAGGTGCTTGAGGTCAACATCCCGCGTGACTTTTTAGCTGCGGAGAGTCCTGCGTTGAGCTCAGCATATCCTGTGGTGCTGGTGGTGCCTGGGTTCTGCTTGGTTGGTTGTGCCGTGGGTGGTGCCTGGCTGGCGAGGCAAGTCCCGGTTTTTCCGGACATAGTGCAGCTAACTAAGTTACTCCAGGCCTGCGTCTTTGAACAACCCACGCTCCCACCACGCTCGAGTTGGCTTTCCCCCCACGTCCTCAACCATTCTTCTCAAAAAATACCAAGGGAGACCCTGAACCTGTTTGTTTTCTCGATCTGAAGAGGAATAGAAGCTTCTTCTCCCCCAGTCCCAGGCACAAACCCCCTACCAAACAGACCGTCGGCTATCCCACCGTCTCTCATAGCCTATTCCTCGAGAAAGCCAGGCCAGGACCTACACTCCCACGCGTTGCGGAGAAGTCGAACTAAAGAAGCGGGCTGATGGATAGCTGCACGTCTCGAAAGAGGAGGACGATACGAGAAATTGTGCAGTGTCCAAGTGACCTCACGCATATTCTGAGGCTGCCCTGCGTCACTGGGCATCAGTCAATCCCCCCGAGAGACAAATGAGGGTCCACAATCTGGTCCTGCTACATCAGAGCATGATGCCTCGTCATTCCTCTGGCTCTTCTGCCAATGGACTGCGCTTTAATTCCTCCTGCTACTGTGTGAGACTGACCGTCCGTTGGTTTTTTAGTTTGGCGGTAGGTCTTCCGATACGTGCTATGTGCCCGAAAACAACGTGCAACCTCCTTCTCTTTTCGAGATCTCACATGCATTTCAACAACGCAGCCAGGAAATCTGAACCCGTCGGCGTTCGACTATCCCTCGAGTCGACCATAGTCACACCGCCCACTACCTCTCGCTTCTCGCACATAAAACTGCCTGTCGAGGACCATTGCTTTCTCCCTCCTTTCCTTCCCAACTCTTTCACCCTCTCCGATATTCCCAGCCATGGATGTTTATACCCTTCCCAACGTTACCGACCCTCATCCCCCCGCTGCTCTTGCCCTTCAGAGGGTGAGTCCGGTACTCCCTTACCTCGCGGTCGCTTTTTCTTTGGCCAGTTTCCTCTGGTGGTGCATACAAGACTATCGCTTCTTCAAATCCCTGGGAGTTGGCGGTCCCTCTCATGACATCTTTGGCTGGTTCAAAGTCCACATTCTGGTCAGGCCGTTCACTCTCGCCGTTCGGGATACCACGTGGACTGGAGACTATCCGGACCATGGTGCTCACAAGGAGATCATGGCGCTGCCGGCTCGAAGAGGGGAACGGCCAGTCATTCTGGGCATCGCGCCTCAAAGGCAGTTTAGTCAGTGTCCCAGTCAAGAAATGAACTCGGTGAGTGAGCCCCAAGTATTTGCAGTCCATGTGATAGACTGCCGTGATGTGGTGGTGTCGAGGCTCCAAACTAACCTTTGGCCAGCGTGTACTTGACATGTTCTCGTCGTTTGTCCAGCAAAATCCCAACCTGCTGCAACAACGAGTTTCGGTTGTCGAGAAACACCACTATGCACTCTTTGTGCATCCGAGCATACTTGCGGAGCCAGACAACTTACCACAAATTGCAACCGTCGCCAACGGCGAATTAGGGCATATCCATGGAGACACTTCACTGCACCTTTACTTCTCACCAGCGGATGCAAAAATTCTCATCCAACGGGGTTGGGCTCAACGGCATCGATGTGCTAGAACTCAGCCGTGGTGGTTCGGTGGGTTGAAGAATATGTGGGGTATTGGAGACACCTTCCTCATAGTGTACGCTCCACGGGACCAGGCTGAGCTTGATGTGTTGTGTGTCTTGATCAAGGCCAGCATCATGTTCATGACCGGCGAGCAAGATGTCATCAAACCGTAAGAAGCGGCCAAGGAAGATGCTGGCCGATCCGGGCGTAATAACCATACGAACCCTGCAAGACGAAATCGGTGATCAGCCTGACGGTGGGGCAAGATCCAGTATTCTTCCAAACATGACGTGAGGGATTGGCAGTGGCAGTACGAGGTTCATGGAGCGGTGATGAGTGAAAAAAGGGAGATCGCAAGTCTGTTGAGGCTGGCAGCATGGCAGCATGGTCAAGGTGGTGGTTAGATGGAATACTCCGTCGTTCAACGTCGCTTAATTTTCATATGTAGACACAAAATCGCAGGCCTGACCGATCTCGGCTTTGTTGCCGCCAACGAGAAAATAGGGCTGTAAAAGCGGCATTGACCCGTTTGAGCCATTCAAACCGCAAGAATATGTCAACGCCCTTTGTCCCGCCACTGCTACATCTCAAACCAGGACCATTGCCATCATCTCCATCACCCTCGACCATGGCTACTACAGTCCCCCGCTACCGCTGTCTCAACGGCCATCCATGGTCTTCTCCGTTCAAAGTCTTCCTTCCTGCCACCTCGACATCAGCCTCGATTGCATCGCGGACATTCGCCACCACGACTGATGACCTCCCCACCAGCAAGCCACGAGTGCGTGCGACCACCTTCGCCGACAAGCTCAATGCCGGGCCTTCGTTTTCCGACTTTGTGTCAGGCAAGGAGCCGCCATTGGAACCCTCGGAAGCATACGCCCTGAAGACTGCCCTCGTAGGGCCGAAGGGCAAGCAGAAAAAAATCACCCGCCTGCCCTCGTGGCTGAAGACGCCGATCCCGGACAGCTCCTCCTACAAGAAGATCAAAAATGATTTGCGCGGTCTGAATCTACATACTGTGTGTGAGGAGGCCCGATGTCCCAATATCTCCGACTGCTGGGGAGGGAGCACCAAGTCCGCGGCCACGGCGACCATCATGTTGATGGGCGATACGTGCACCCGGGGTTGTCGTTTCTGCAGTGTCAAGACGTCAAAGGCTCCTCCTCCGTTGGATCCGCATGAGCCAGAACATACGGCCGAAGCGCTTTCGCGGTGGGGTCTAGGCTACGTCGTTCTGACAAGTGTTGACCGAGACGATCTGGCGGATGGAGGAGCGCACCACTTTGCAGAGACGGTGCGCAAAATAAAATCCAAGGCGCCCGCTATTCTGGTCGAGTGTCTTACCGGCGACTACGCGGGGGATTTGGACATGGTCAAACTTGTTGCGACGTCAGGATTGGATGTGTATGCGCACAACGTGGAGACTGTCGAGGCATTGACGCCTCAGGTGCGCGACCGCCGAGCAACATTCCGGCAATCGCTCAGCGTGTTGAAAGCCGCCAAAGCAGCACAACCAGGTCTCATCACCAAGACATCCATCATGCTGGGCCTGGGCGAGACCGAGGATCAACTGTGGGCTACGCTGCGAGAGTTGCGCGCCGTCGACGTCGACGTGGTCACGTTTGGCCAATACATGCGTCCCACAAAGAGACACATGCCCGTGCACGAGTACGTGACGCCGGACGTCTTTGAGCAGTGGCGCGTGCGGGCGCTGGAAATGGGTTTCTTGTACGTGGCGAGCGGCCCGCTGGTGCGGAGCAGTTACAAGGCCGGGGAAGCATTTATCGAGAATGTCCTCAAGAAGAGGAGAGCTGGCAGGGGAGAGACGGCGACCGCCGATTTGGCGGGCGATATAGACGTGAAGGAGGTGCAGATTGGAAAGATTTGATTTGTACGAGCTAGGGCATTATTCGGTACTTGATATTTTCCTTGGGATAATATACGTATGAAGGTGAAGAGGGCGAAGGGATATTTTGGGTCATTGTCTATCTATCCACGACCTCTTTGATCGGGAATGTCTCGATATCTCGACAACGAAGAAATTTCAGGCCAGTGTTGCTGATACGTTTCTACATTTGCCCGCTTTCACATTGGTAGAGATCCGCTTTTTGCAGTTTGGGATCACACTACTTTGTGTATTTGCCTGATATCTTACGCCCATTCAGTAACCCTTCCAGCGCTCCGTTATAAAAATGCCCTTGTGTTTGTAGTGATGGTGGTGGTGGTGGTGCAGTTCCGTCACTCATGAGAGAGTGGACCGGCTCTCCTTGCGATAACGGTCCACGTCGATCGCGTGCCGTCTCTCAAAGCCCCGTCGTTTTTGCCGGTTTGAAATGTTCGATGCTTTGGGGGTCCCGGCAGACAGGGCCTTGGACGGAGAGGGAGAGACGAACCACCGATATCCCCACCATCGAGTAGAAGAAGCTGGGAAACCATGTCTTCGTCGTTGTCCTCGTCCTTTTTGTCAGCTCTCCTCGAGTGTCGAGGTTCGGGCATCGGACACCGTCTTCTCCTCTTATTCTTGTATGATCTCATTTCCCTTTCTTCCACCCTCGTCCCACTCAGGGGGGAAAACCAATCGTATCTTCACTGTGGATTGTGCCCAATTTTTTTTTCTTTCGACCGCAGTAATCACCCACAACTTCCACACTCTGGGCCGCGCACGTCGTCGATCCCTCCCATCCTCCTCGACCCACTGCCAGGACCGCCGGCACCACCACCTCCACCTCTTCCCCAAGAACCACCACTGCCACTACCACCGCCGCCGCCGCCGCCGCCGCCGCCGAGTCGTGTAGTACTCCCCGCACCCCAGCGCGGACGGTCTTGATACGCGTTGGGCCGGCCGCGGGTGTTGAACTGGCTGTTCTGCGCGGCCGTGTAGGGGTCCAGCGAGAAGAGGGAGACAAGGTACAGGCCGAGGAAGTTGTACAGGTCGTCAGAGAAGCGGGAGATGCGG